GGGATGCTTTCATTTTGCGTCTGGCGCTTTACAAATAGCATATGGAATTTTTTCAGTGATGCTATTTGATAGCCCTTGCAAAGTGCTTTGAAATGAGCACAAACTTGTTTATGAAATATTTCATTGTGAAAAGTTATTAACAAAAAATGCTAAAACCTAACTTTATTAGTACCCCATTTGACAGTATGTACTGTACATGTACGTAATTCTTTGATGCAACATGGCAGCTAAGTTACTGAAGTTATAAGATTTTTATTCAGTTTAGATTAGCAGCCATTATCCATTGATGAAACATCCTATCCTCTAATGTCCTCAAATGGCATATTAATGCAGGAAAGAATGATATTTGCCCTTATGTCTCACTTGCATCTTGTGTAATTCTTCAAGAATTATATTGAAGCTTCAGATCACTTGTAAGAAATACTGGCACTATTACTGTAACTGCTGCATTCTGATGAGTTTGCAATGTCCTCTTTTCATCACCAATGCATCATTTGGAGCTTGAAAATTTGGCAAAATTTGTATTGTATTTTTATTAGAAAGTTTTTGTTTGTATAGTGTTTATGTTGTCTAAGCATCTCCAAAAATGTTACTTAGATATATGCTACATTTGTGTACAGGCCCTGGGTGGGCATTAAGAACTAAAGGTGAATTACTTTACCTAAATTTGTGCAACACCTTGCTAGAAATATGAATTGAAAATACACACTTGAATTCTGCTAGACTGAATTTCTTCATGTCTTTGGTTTATGTCAAACTGATGGTGCCTATTAAACATTAACTAATGCTGTTGTTCTGTTTGCAGAACCTGCCATTCAGCATCCACAACAAGTACAAGCTGTGCGCTGGCGCCCTCGTTTTCTTTGGCTCTGGCTTCGGCCTTCCCTTCCTCTTGGTCCGTCACCAGCTCAAGAAGAAGGCGTAGTACTATTCCACTTCTCTGTATATAAGATATAATGGTGAGAATGTGTTGTATATAAGATATAATGGTGAGAATGTGTTGTGTATAAGATATAATGGTGAGAAGTTTTTGTGTATAAGATATAATGGTGAGAATGTGTTGTATATAAGATATAATGGTGAGAATATGTTGTGTATAAGATATAATGGTGAGAATATGTTCCTCGTGAAAGGAACCAAAGCTCCCAGGTGATTCTGGCTTGTATCGTACATCATTGTTCTCAATTAAATATTGTAGTCCACTGAAGTTGAAAGCTTCAGTATTTGCAAATGTTGCAATAATTGTAATCACATTGTTATTTTATCTTGACCTCCAAATGTTTACTTTTCTACATCTAGAAGCCTGTAGATAATTACAGATAAGAGTTCTTTATTTGTGCTAAACACTGCTTATGGGCTGCAAAACATGAAGCCTTTTTTTTTTACTGAAACTGTTTGAGAAGAATTGGGTGCTAGAAACTATCTTCATTTGCTTCAAATTCAAAATTGTAATCAATGATTAAGCTAGGTCATTAAATAATGATTAATTTGACATTATAATCTATGATTAATCTAGGTCACTAAATAATGATTATTTTGACACAAGATATTTAAATTTTTAGAAATACAATTGCAATCATAAATAATGCAGAGTAAATTACTCAGGTTTTCAGTGGGTATGTTTGGGGCCATCATCTCCATTATCAGCTCATCTCCATCATCAGTTCATCTCCATTATCAGTTCATCTCCATTATCAGGTCATCTTCATTATCAGCTCATCTCCATTATCAGCTCATCTCCATTATCAGTTCAAAATTCATAACTTAGAGTAAGATCACATACGACAAGAAAATTTATCAGTAAAAATGAAAACGGTAATTGATCATCTAAAGTCCGTACAATGGTAACCTAGCTATGTTTGATTAAAGCCATAAAGAACTTGAGTGATTACTCTAACAAACAAGGTTTTTATTTAGAAATATCCACGTATTACTCACTAGCGGGTTGTAATGTTTGTTGCAAATTCACTCTGATGAATGAGGCAGATGCGCAAGTCGGTTTCCAGAATGCTGCTGTACTCTGCAGTCTCTGCCTCTCTGATGTAGAAGTTGCCTAGCGTCACTATCGTGTTTCATAAACTCTTGAGTATAGCATGTTGGTAGAAACAGTCTTTATGTCTGAAGAAAGAAACTATCTTTTAGTTATCTCTCGTTGAAGAAAGAAACTATCTTTTAGTTATCTCTCGTTGAAGGAAGAAACTATCTTTTAATTATCTCTCGTTAATTCATGCAGGGTAATCTTTGGAAAGTATTCAATAATATAACATTTCAATATTGTTTATAAAAGCTTTCAGAAGCAGGGTTTCAGTATGACAAGCAGCAGTAAACAATGCTGCTATTAGACTTCTCTAACAACCGCAGAATGTCGCTTTGACTTGTATTTGTTCATTAGAGTGAACAACCTGCTTTCATAGAAAGGTTTTCATTGTTTTTTTTTTTTTTGCATAAAAATTCATATTAGGAATGCTTTGCATAGAAGGGAGAGCAATCCGAACCCGTCGGTGTTTTAATTCGCGTTTCCCATTGAATTGGAAGCAAAATTTCCTAGGAAGGAAACACAGCAGCAGAAGTTGAAACCAAGGCTACTTGTGTGTCCTTCAATCAAAGTAGGTAGCTAAAATCGTATAAGGAAATTCAGAGCACAGGTGGAGGAGCCAGCGTGCAGGAAATAAACATGCGCGTATTTCTGTACCGTACGGAAAATTGGTTCGAATAACGCCTATGATATTCATCTGCCTGAAATACTTCAGTGGCAGGTTTTTCTACGTTTTTGATTGTCAAATTTGGTTTCAAGGTCTTCATTGAACACAAGGATTTGAATTTTTAGCTGATTTTTGATTTGATCAAATCATTTGGTCTTGACATTGAACATGAGGAATGTAAACTCAAAGATGAAGCCGTGTTGTTGTAACGGAGCGTAAGATTTGAAAAACTATTATTTTCCACTAAACCTTGAAACTCTATGCAGTTAAGAACCAATTGTCATTCATGATGTAATCCAATAAAGCCAGTAGAATGCAATGAAAGTTTTAATTACTTGATCTTCTGCTCCGATGTTCCAGGCACAACATACGCGCATGCCTTTTTTATATCACGTCATTGGATATGTAAAATGCATGCCGCTTCAAGTTGTTTAGTTGCCATGAATTAAACGGCTTTCTTTTTAACCTGGAATGAATTCTTTGCTGTGAAGGTAATTTTACTTGTCATTTATTTGTTCGGCAGATGAAATTCCAGCAATGTCGGTAGCCCGGACGAGCTGCCGACCTGATGCAGTCACCTCGCGGGGGGTATCGAACTCCACACCACAAAATCTTAGTAAATGAGACCAAATAAATGCTCTGTTATTTCATCCACTCACTAAATGTGCGCTGCTGCTTGCCAGAGCGTGCGACGCGAGTCTTAACATCTGATTCTGTTACTCTTCTGCTCAAAGTTTTCTATAATTTTAGTTTGGTATGAATAAATGACGTCAGGAAGAGTTGAGGATATCAATACATGGGAAATGAATAATTTAATTTATCACTACAATCTCTCTTGAGGTAAGGGGGCTCGAAGTTTAAATTTCAGTAAGCCTTGACCGATCCCCCAACTTGACATTGGACCAGATTATTTAGGCTTCATGGTACGAAGAATATATTGTTGCCTTTAATTGACTTGGTGTGCCTCAAAGGATGAATTTAAATAAAGCTATGCCGTAAACTTGCATTACCCATACCTACTTGCACGCATTTGCAACATCTAATTCCCAAGTTATTGAACAATTGCAGTGAAGACTCGTCCACCTAATTTTCCTTTCATATTTCTAATGATTATAAACTTGAAATAGCTTCGTTTTACCTAAAATGGTGTCGAATTCCGTAGAGCTTAGATGGGCTTATTTTCCGTCGTCATGATTGAAGTGCAGCATGTCACTCTCTATGGCTCACGGTTACTAGGTAAGTGGCCTCTGATTAGATGTATTTCGGGTAAATGTTTGAAATGTATCATCAATTACTTCGGTCAAGAGTAGTGAAAGGTATTCTTGTGAAATGAGTAGTTTGCTCAACGAAGTGACTGCTTCTATATTTCAAGTTTAGCTGATGGATGTATAATTTTTATCTGTTTTTCATGATCGATTTAGTTGAACAACTTGCCAAAATTTACATTTTTGAAAGTTGATTATTTTGTATGGCCTACATTATTGGATATAAAGCGTCATATTTCTCACAAAAAATATTTTATTAGGTTTTAAGTTGGTTCTATGGAACTTTTACCGTAAAAAAATAATCAGGCTTCGGTCAGAAAAATATCATTATTCAAGTTGAATTGGGTGCGTGCTGACCTCCGGTCACGACCTTTAAATCGGTCAAACACGATGCATAAAAGCTCATATGCTAGTGTCAAAACAAATCAAACGTTCACGTCACACCCGTAAGTTAACAAAAATTTCACATAATACGTATTCACAACAATCGTAAAAGACTAAAATATTCCTTTATGCCTGTCAACATCCTGAAAAAAGTGATTTTTGATGAATTTGAAGACCGACCGCGAGTCCGACCGTAGAAGTGTCAGACACGAAATCACACGATTCTTGGTGTTCCTCTTGTATACTACTAGCACGACATTTTTTTTATAAATGATAAGGTCTTGCAGGTTAGAAATTTATTCGAAATCGAGGAATTTATAACATACCATTGCAATTGAGCTAATTTCCATAGCAGTACACCTCGCCATTGTGTGGTTAATTTTAAATGTATTTTTTTTTACAGAATTAGATTAAAAATTTATTCTGGAAGGTGAGAACCCTGCTCCTTTAAAAGATCTTTACCTCATAATAAATGATCAATAAATTCTGTCTGTATTGTTACACCAGCTATACTAAAATCGTAAAAAACAATTTCTTCAATCTGAATGAGGTGTAATGTAATTCATACGCTAGAAATTTTCATATACGTTCAAAATAAATTCCGAATGCAGATTTTATATCTTTTTGAAGACTCTGCTGTACGTTCGTATTGATCCATATATGGCAGCGTCTCTGCCCCTCCGCTCTACGCCATTTTCAAGCGTCCCGCACGTTCCTGTCAGGCTGTGATATGTGAGTTTCTTGCTAATTTGACTTTGCTTGCGTCATTAGACCTTGGGTAATATTTTTCTACCTATGTTTTTGGTTGTTAAGGAATAGCGGATACTTATTTCATAGTTATGTCCGCCATAGACTTCGTGCCTTCGAGTTAAAAGCAAATTTCTATCTCGTCCATCGTGTACTGTCTACCGTTCCAAATTTTTGCTTGTAGCGTCCCTCACGGAGCAGCCGTCATTACTACTTCATGCATTATTCATTTCTGGACTTCTCTCGACTTTCAAATTAAAAAGAATTAATTGAGAATGGCTGTTTGTAACTAAATTCCATGACCTGATACGTTTATTATAGCAGTTTGATTGATATTGTAGCTGATTTAGTAGAAGTCTGGTAGAGACGAGGGCAGGGGTGGGTGGAGGGAAAGGGTGGCGCTGCTTGGGTGCTTGTGGCGGTCTGCGCGGCGAGGTGGCAATGATGGTGTGTAGCCTCAAGGGAGGTTACTCATGACGTCACAAGTTCCAAGATTATTCTTGTCATAATTATTTGCCTTCTGTAAGCTGTTACCCTAATCGTCGAGTCGCTTGGAACAACCGTTTAAATAAATTTCGTTTGTCTAACTTTAACGTGTTCCTGACGGGAGACAACTATCTCCGACTTTGACCTTCATGTTTTATGACAAGCGCTGTAGCGGCGCGTGCCTGCATTTCTTTGTTTGCAACTAACTCTATTTCCTATTTAATAAGATGTACATAGAATGTCAAATGTGAAATTTTGCAAATTTCATTTTATAGTTCTTACTTAGTTTGATTTCTCCTAATTTTGATGAATTAGTATATTTTAAAATTGAAATTATATGGTGATGCATTGACTTATTGATTTTTGATGCCAATGGTTTGTAGTGAAACCTTCCATCTGTTGATACCTATCCAGGTAAATAAGTATTGCAATTCCATGCAATTTGATAAGTGAATAACAAACTCTGTTGAGGTTGTATATTTTTACTTTTGCTAGCTCATAAGATATGTTGTGCAAAGCTTTCTCTCCTCCTTGCTAATGATGAAATTCTTTCCTTGAAATAATCATGATTTGTATCCACAACCTAAGCATTTTTACAATTAATGAATTTCCCATCTTAAAGAGCCTGTCTATTATGAGTTGGCATTTGAAATAAAATCTTTGCTGTAAGTAGACAGCATTATTATTCATGCTTTAGATAATTTCTGGAGCTTTTCAGAATTTGTTTGGGATCAAGACAAAAATGTTTAAATGTTCACTGATTGCAGCAAATTGCAGAGCAAAAACAAGCTTTAGATTTTGTTCATATGATAGGAATGTGCTATGCTTGTTGGTATTGATAATATTCTCTTTGACAATTATATATGTCTGCTATGCATGAAATATTTGTTTCTGAACTCTTACAAGACTTGAAGTCTTGACTCAGCCAAACCAATTTTCTTCTAAATTTTATTCAAATGTTTTATTCTCTTGCCTCTTTCCAAAGCAGCTGTTCAGCTTATTAGGCTCATGATTGCAATACTGATTTCAAAGTAAAGTTGAGTTTTTGATTTTTTCGGCTATGTTATAAAGAGGAAAGCAAGGTTTGAAATTGACTGAAGAATCTAAAAAGAAATTAATTTTTCTGTTTGCTATAATTGTAGCAAAAGCTTAAAAGAAATGAATGTTCATGTTAGATAATTGAACTGAATAAATCTTTATATAGTTCTAATTAACATGAACAAATTTTGTGTGCCCGCAGCTAGTATACAAGGAGGTGGGGGAAGAGCATGGGAGCAGACCAACAGTTCTGTCTCCGGTGGAACAACTTTCACACAAATATAACTTCGGCTTTTGAATCTTTGAGAGACGATGAAGATTTTGTCGACATTACTTTGGCCTGCGAGGGCAGACAGATCAAAGCTCACAAAATGGTGCTTAGCGCTTGCAGTCCTTACTTCAGAAGTTTGTTAAGGGTGAGTATTATATTTTTTGCTCAATTTAAAACAATGAAATATGGTTAAGACTATGATTACTATCAATAGACACATTAATGTCTTGCTCTGAGGCTTGTAGCAAGAGATCAGTTCATATCTGCCAATGCAATATGCCTTGCAACAATGTTCATTTAGTACTCTTCCAAATTACATACTGTGGATTCTTTCTAGGTAGCTAATATCCATTAGAAAGCTTCAGGTTTTAATTCTAATTAAAGATTAGGCAATTTTTGCTCAGACGTATGGATTGTCCAAATTTTGTGGCTCACATGAGATCTTTTGTGTTTGGTTCTTATGAATCTTCAATTTTGGTTTCAAACTAAACATTGTAATGATAATGTTATTATAATGGCGATGGATATGTTGTTGATTTTGCCATAGTATTTTAAAGTTGAATGAAAGATAATGCTAACCATGATCTACTTGTTCAAGCTGTGTTCTTTTCTTACAGGGCAATCCCTGCCAGCACCCAATTGTGTTCCTCAAAGATGTCACGTTTGCCAACCTTAGTTCCATATTGGACTTCATGTATCACGGGGAAGTTAATGTCTCGCACAACGAGCTCGCCACCTTCTTAAAAACTGCTGAGGCTCTCAGAGTTCGAGGACTGGCAGAAGATGACAACAAGAGGGTGAGCTGCGTATTAATGGATTGTTCTTTTCAGGATTGATTGGTTTTTCTGTTGAATTATTTCGTTTTTACCTATTTAGGTACGATTATCATATACTCCACTAAAATGGATGGTAGAAGATTAGTCATTTGCAGCAGCTGGATGCAGAGACTGAATGGCTTGTTAGCGCATTTTCTCATTTATGGAAAAAATTTCCTATTGTGCTCGTCATGTCTGTCCGTCCGTCTGTCCGTAACTTGATGTTTTTGTCCACGAGAAAATTCGCGCTCTGTCACTCACTGCAGTGAGTACCGTTACATATATATTTTTGTTGTGCAGGATGGCGACAGCTGTGCAGAGCCCAGTTCTCCCCCACCCCCACGCGACCCCCCTGAGCCCTGCTCCCCCGGACGGCCTGACGAAGGCGGCGGCGGGGTCGTTGAGTTCTCAGACCCTCCTGACGTGCAGCCCTCGAAGCGGCGGCGCTCTGGCAGCATAGCGGACGATGCTTCCGGCCCTACTCAAGTCTTGCCTGATAATGTTAAGAATGAACCTGAAGAATATATTAATGATGACGAGGATATGTTAGCACAACAACAGCAGCAGCAACAACAGCAGCATTTATCTAGTGATGACATCAAGATGGATGGGTTTTCAAGTAGCGCAGAAGATGCGGGCGCGGAGTACCTAGGAGGAGGAGAGACGAGCAGAAGTAACGCAACAATGCAGCAGCTACAAGACAGCTTCAGTCCTTTTATCCCTGGCATGAGCGTGCAGAGCTCGGCAGCTTCCTCCTTCCTGTCACATCCTGCAGCCGTGAGCTCTGCTGACCATGGCAGGGGGCATCCTCCCTTCTCGCTCGAGGGGGTCCAAGGTGGGCTTTTTTTTTGTACTGACTGCTCATTATTTAAAAGCTAGCATTGCGTTTTTTCGATGGGGTCCAAGGTGGGTTTTTTTTTCTACTGACTGCTCATTATTTAAAAGCTAGCATTGCGTTTTTTCGAGGGGGTCCAAGGTGGGCTTTTTTTGTAGTGGCTGCTCATTATTTAAAAGCTAGCATTGCGTTTTTTCGATGGGGTCCAAGGTGGGCTTTTTTTTTGTACTGACTGCTCATTATTTAAAAGCCAGCATTGCGTTTTTTCGATGGGGTCCAAGGTGAGCTTTTTTTGTACTGACTGCTCATTACTTAAAAGCTAGCATTGCGTTTTTTTATTAAATCCGCGATTAATAATTACGTAATTTTTGGGGATGACCATAACCCGTTGGCTCGTGGAAAAGCTCAACATTAAAATTACAAATTTCATTTGCGCATGAAAAAATTTTATGCGCATGCAGTGGTTTGCTAGTAAAACAATTAATTTATTTGCTAGGAGCATCTTTTCATCCCTTATGCCATACATTGTTCAAGCAGTGTCTCTGTAGCTCTCCATCTCGCGCGTCAGTACTTCTTTGCTGCTCTGATCCTGCATAAGCTGTACTACATACATCAGCCTCCCGCACTTTCAAATCATTCATACATGACATTTAGTTATTGTTCCTTGGCGTGGTCTGAATACATTGATTAAGCCTTAAATCACTGATTCTGATTATGCTTTAATATTTGTCTCCAACAAACCTGCAGTCAATTCATCCTATAACTTCCTGAGCAAGTGTTGGTTCACGTCAACAATTTCACTCATGTTGGTCACAGAGATGACATTTGTTTTCTTATCTCGCCATTTGCGTCTCGTACATATTTAAATAATGAGCTCCGTACGGATTGCTTTTGATGATTTTTACGTTATTGTCAATTTACTTTTTGCTTCAGCTAACTGAGGTTGGTTTTCGCCAGTAAGATTATCTGTAATAGTCTTGTGAAATTGTGTTGTCTCCTAATTTCAATATTAAGTTAGTGAGGGCACTGCATAACGTAATTGAATGGATGTGACGACAGGCCTGCCCCCCGGTATCTCAGCTCTACCGGGCCCTTCGCTGCCCCAGTCTGGGGGCGGTGGTCAGGACAGCTCTGCCCAAGGTACGTACATCTCGTCCATCGTTACATGCGTCGTACCATCGCCACAGTCTTGTGACCACAGCACTCACTTGTACCCCTGTCAGGGTTCACAAGGTGTCAGGGCTAGGTTCCCAACAGTTCACTGTACCATATATATCATATAAATAGAATATGGAATATGTATGAATAATGACCAGAGAATGCATTATATAATAATTCATTCTCTGATCATTATTCGTACTCGTTTCAACAAGAAAATTCTGCCATCTAATACTAATGGGGAATATATACATTTCCATATGAAAATTTCCGTATTCTCCCCCGTGTAAAACTGCTCTTGCCTAAATCGTTCATGCCCCTTGAACTTGACTACTAAATTTTTGAAGGCGTTGTGGTTATAAGACTGGTGTGGTAAGGACATATTATAACATGACTCATGCCATGCATTAGCACCGTTGAGCGATGCAACTCTCGCGCCTGTCACACTCACCGCAACACGTAAACGCCGTTGCTCTGCCAGCATCTCTTATCGTACTGCCCAATTCCTAAAAATATACCTCAGTACTCACTGCAGTGAGTGACAGAGAGCGCATTTTCTCGTTGACAAAAACGTGAAGTCACGGACAGACAGACGGACGGATGAACGGACATGGCGAGCACAATAGCGCCTTTTTTTCCATAAATGAGAAAAATGCGCTAAAAATGAGAAATATCGAATGTTGAGTTTGGCAATTACTTATGTTTATTCTCAATTAAACAATTCATGTGTAGAAATGCAACTTGTATCATTTATTGCTATGGATTAATTAGATCATTCAAAATCAACTTATTCATAATTTTATTCAAAATTTCTGAAGTTGAGTATAGAATGCTGGGCAGTTGCTAAGTGCTGGCGCTGCAACGTGCGTTGGTGTGCTGTAAGGTGCGCTAGGTGCTAGTGCATCGTAAGAGTCCTGCTGTGCTGTGCAGTGCGGCTCCAGTGGTCTGGTCATACTATAGTCTAATTATTACTGCCTTTGTATCTATCGTTCTGGCCAATCTTATCATATTACGTTCAATGTATTATAGTAGGCTAAAGTATTGAATATTCTAGCGATACAAAATACCGTTGAATGAACTCGTGTTCATTTCCATTCATCAAATAACTTAATAGTTTACTGCTTGTCGTGGTGCAGTACTCGCCTCAAAATTTCTCTGTATGAAGAATTAAAATAGTGCATTGTTTGCAGAGAATCCCTGTGACATGGGGATTTTAATCTCGTTTTGGTTCTCGATTTAATGATGTAGAGCGAGAATGCTCCAGAGCGAGAATTTCTGTCGGATATTCAGTCAATTAATTCAAAATTCTATTTTGCTGATTATGATGATATATTGAAAACCTTCGAAACCATTTGCCAGCAGACAAAGTTGATTAAAATGAGTGTTTGCGTTGAAATTTCACGAGTTTTGAGCCAGAAAATGTTCGCCAGTGAACTAGAATTCAAATGATTGCATTGCGCACGACTTAAGCGCACATTAATAAGTGATCAGGAATCAGAGCGTCATGTCTCATGACGCAGTGAGTGTTAGAGGAGACTTAGACCTAAAGGAGCCGCACTGCAACGCAGCCTGTACAATGCCTACTTATAAGGACGTGTCATGAGTGATATGCCGAACACAGTACATGTACGAGCGTAGCAAGGCTCTCTGCTTCACACACTCACTACCTACGGGCTGCTCACACACTCGTTTATTTAGCCTGAATTTCCTTTTTCTCGTTAGTTCTTGATCTCTCTTGCTAACTAAAAGCTCTAGCATTCATTCTTGGACATAATTGAACCCATTTGAGAGTTTGGCCTAAAGGATCCTTTCAATTAAAGACTTAAGAGCTGCCTCTTAGTTTGTTTTTCATTCAAGTGTGAGCTGCCTCTTAGTTTGTCCCTCTTATTCAAGTGTAAACTGCCTCTTAGTATCTTTCATTCAAGTGCAAAAATCCCCTTAGGCTGTATCTCTCATTCAATAATGTACTTTGTTCGGTAAATCACAGCAATGCTGACACTGAAAGCATCGTCATTAAGATAATGCAATTGTTTTTGTTATAAGCATCTATTTATTCGGCGAGTTTGCGCCTAGTGATGATGCCGTTGCTTTCAGTGCCTTAGTAATGTTAACATTTGAATAAATATTCTTGTTGGTCATTTACGAGGAGAAGAGGTTTTGCGTTAAAGATTTCTGACTGGTTGTTAGTCTGAACTTGGTATCTTCTTAAGACCAAATGGTCTACCAGCTATATTACTTGATTTTATATTAATCGATAAATTTATCTCTTGAGTTTCTTGAACGAATGCAATCAGTTATATTACGACACAAAATCTCTTCTCTGAATGAATCCTATGAGTCGTGTGGGATGGGGATGTGCTGCGCAGTGGCAGCAGCGGTGGTGGTGGTGATGATGCATGCAGCATCAATTCTCATAAAGATGTGCTCTTGAATTACGGGAATCTTGACTTTATTCTTCGTTGCCTACTGTCCGCGTATGTTTTGCACCGCAAGCAAGTAGCCTGCGACAAGCTACGTTTCGTAGCGCCGCTCAATAGCTCGCTTTGTCGTCCGCGCGTCGTGTCTTTGATTGCGCCGCTCTCGCGATTGCTTCTGTGCAGCGCCTTTATTATTTGTTCATCTGGAAAACATTACTTGATTGCCGTCACTGAAATGTTGAATTTAAACTTTACTCAGTGCTCGCGTTTTGCTCTCATCTTTATGCTTTTGCGGAGCTAGCAGCGACTGGTTCAAGTTTAAGGTCGCCGTTCTAGGAATAGGATTGCTGTCAGAAGACGCAGTTTTCTAGTGTAAAATTTGCGCGCAGTAGCTACGTGTACAAATATTCTTCTCCGTTATTTTTGTTTAATTTATACGCATTATGAGATTTAGTTTGTTTGTATTTCAAAAATGCCACTTTGCGCATTAGTTTGGACCACTGTATTTGGTGTGATAAAGTATTTATTGGTTGAATTTCTACGGCAAGAGATGAGAAGACTGCATCTAAATCCGTAGAAAAGAAATTAATCTTGACGGATTAATTTTTGACAAGAAATCCTTATCGATCGTAGACAAGAGCTTGTAAATCGTAGACAATATTTTACCATAAATTATTTAGCCGAGCTCTTTCTGCAGATGCGCGATTTCTACTTCAATAATGCGACAAACTTGATATGATTAATTTTGCTTGATTTATTACAATATACACGTTTTAGGGCTTTTGTGTTCAACAGAAGCGTGATTCGGTCTAATGCTGACCTTTTCACGTAGTTTTGATTTTGAATTTTCTAGTAATCAACGTTTTTGGCGTTTTTTGTTCGTTTTATGGAGCGTGAAGCGCTGCAATTGGGAACCAGTAACAATGTGGACACGCGAGTGACAACCAATATCAATGTGATATCTGCTCGGAAATTTTAAACCATGTGCAGAACGTCGTCTAATCAAAAAAACTTGGGAATTGTACCTCAAGAAACTAGAAACTTCTTTGGAAATAATCTGCTTTAGTGCTCCTATGGCGAACTCGAGTCGTGCGGACCTGCCATGTATTTTCCCCTGTATCGCATCGATGATGAGATACGTTATTAATGAAAAGTGAAATAAATATCTCTGCCTTTACATTGTCAAAATATTTCCTGGCCTTTTCTGAGAAGCATTTGTGCATAGGAGTTGACTTGAGTAGTGATGGATGACCCAATTTTAGCGTTCCGAATCATTTTTATACTACAACATTCCTGATTTCTTCAAACCACTTCGTCAGGAAACAGTTTAGATAATAACTTTGAAGCAATCACTTCTGAAAGATCTCTACAAAGCAACAAATAAATCCGCTCCATTAGAGGTGACCGTTTACACCCTGACAACATAACTTGTAGCATCAACAAAAACAATCACCGTTCCTGATGAGTTTTCGAGTCCTCGAGTCTTGGGAAATAATTAGATTTCTTTCTTTTATTTCGTCTTCTCACTCGCAAAATTCTATCTTATAATTCTAAACGAATGTGTTTTTCCTACTGACGGGTGATCAGCACTGCGCTAATCGCCATGTTCACTTCCCATCGCCAATTTCATGATTAGACCTGTCAACCAAATCTCTTTTCCGAAGAAGTCACTGTAGCTTGGAATAACTCCGCTGTGGTTGCGTATTCAACAGTCCTGACTGTCGGTTGCGTCCCTCGATTCTCCGAGAAGCCTCGTACCATCTTGGGATCTTTAGTATTGGCTGTCATCTTGCGACGCTCTATTTATTGATCTCATGAGTCACATTATATAGCGCATATGTTGTTGTCACAGAGGGTTCGACTTTTATTGGCGGCAGGCGTAAAAATTGTCGAGATAATTAACACCAACTTATGAAGTGAGATGAAGATAGATTGTTTTTGAAGCTGTAATATCTTCAAAGGTTCCGTGATTCTGCATCCTCATTTATCAACGAGCGGTCGCCGAGAAGATGCTCATCTCGCATAAAACAATTATTCCAACTTCAGAGTTTTTTTGGTGCTGGACTCGCCATCTGAAAGAGTGATGAATATCCCATCTTTATATACTGGCCAATGATTTTCAGCGTCGCGTTTGTCGTACCTGAAAATGGTCTCGTCTGCAAACTAACCAGTTTTGAGCAGTATATATGAGGCAATTCAATGCAGCGGTTTCGGACACGAGTTCGGAAGAAACAAGCCTGGTTTAGGCAAGTTATTGATGTTCGAATTATTAAGGGAAGCCATTGTTATTTTCCTGTCAAATTTGCATCGCTTCAGTAGACGAACATTTGTGGTGAGCCTCGGCCACGCCGTATCGATTTTTCACATGAAAGGAAAGAAAGAAGCGCCAGAAGCCTGCCCTCCTGAGCCTCCCTCCATCGATCGCTATTGAGAAGCGTGTCCAGAACGCGCTGTCGCTACTCGGCCGCACCGCACTCCTCGGGATTATTGCTTCTGTTCATCAACGACTGAGCTGTGACTCATTATGGCATAACTTGCTTCTATGTTATTAACATCAATGATACT